GTTTCCGGGAGATTCTGAGAGGCTGCGGTTTGGGCCACTGTCCTTGGAGCAGAGCTCTGTCTGCGTGTGGACCCCAGGCCTTATTGAAGGAGAGATTGTGGTTCTCTGTTGAGCCCAGCTTACCAGTGATGACCGCCGCTGGCCTTGCTCCGAGGGTTGGACTCTCAGAAACACGTCCTCCCCCATGCAGGGTCCTTTCTTACTAAAGCTGTGTTGTTGTCACAACGCACAGTTGGCCATCATGTCTGCATTTGGTTCCAATGTCCTTTTCCAAACTGAGCACTGAGGCACCTTGATCTAAAACACAGTCCCCCAGGGCACAGGAGGTTAGAGCTGGAGGTGCTGCCAGTGCCCTTCCTAAGGTCACAGTTCCATTCCCAGCTCTGTGAGACCAAAGAAAATGAGTAGATTCATAATTCAAGCTAACAGTGCGAAGAGGGGTCTCCCCTTTGAGAAGTCACTTTGATGTCTGTACCCACCTGGGGTAGACGCCCCTCCTGAGTGTTCCCAGCTGGCCCCACGCTTGTCACAGTGTGCCGAATTTATCTTCTTTACTGTAGGATGTCCTAGAAAAAGGAACTGTCTAAATCGAGACACTTGGCCCCTAACCTACATAGGTATATTCATGTTGGCTGAATGGCTTTTGCCAAAGCCACATAGTGACAGAATAAGGACTGGAAATTAATTGGCTTTCTTTTCAGAATCAGTGTTCTCACACTGCTGTGCTGCAGATGTAGTCTGAGAAGCATGCAGTGCCCGGCTCTGCTCTGGCAAGGGGAGCAGAGACGGGGGAGACTGACCGTGTGCCAGCAGCACGGCCATCTCAGGGCCAGCTGTCCTGTGTGAGTGGTGCAGGGCTGCGAGTTGGGCACAAGCTGAGCTGTTAGCAGCCTGACGCCAGAGCAGCACATGGATCGTGGGCCACTGGGGAGAGCAGAGGCAGCTGGGGTGTGTGGTGCCCAGGACCAGCTGCAGAGGTTTCCTCCTCTGGCCAGAAATTAACCCAACTTTAGGTTAGGAGGCAGAAGTTCTGCAAAAGGGGTTCTAGTAAGGAAAAGGTTAGCAGGAAAACTAGAAAGACACATGGGTCTAGGAGTAATAGGACTAAAGCAGGAGTCAGGAGCGGTCCCTGTTGGCCTCATTTTCCCTCGCTGGGAAGTAGGAGAGAGAGAGACTGGCGGACACTTCTCTGGGGCTCTCTGCTGTGTCGTGCAGTCACTGTGCCTTGTTGCAGATGGGTTAGGGGAACTTACTGGTGTGTTTGTGAGCCACATAAGTTCTTTAACACCAGGGCTGGAGTATCTGGAGACCTGATAGTTCTGAGAGCCCATTGCCACCTTGTTCCTCTCCCTGACGACACAGCACTGTCCTGCGTCCAGAGCTGAAGGGAGCAGGTGCAGCCTGCGCTGGCTCTTGAGTGAAGCCCCGGGGTTTCCAGGGGGTTTCCATGGGTCAGAATATCCATATACTTAAAACCTAAGAGTACGTGCAGACTGACAGTATGATTTGTGAAATAATTTACTTTGGGTCTTCTCAAAGCCTTTTCTGTTATAGTCTGTAATAAAAGAATACCCTGAAACTTTAATGTTTCTAGAAGTTAGTACAGTGGTGGGTCCATAGAATCCATTCTGATTCTTGATTATATGAAAACCAGAGGTTGGTGTAATTCTCTCCTTAACTCTTTACTTACGCTCAGTGTCCACAAGAAGCCTCCGGTCTCCTGATACACTCTACTCAGTGTGAGACTATCTGCTTCAGAGTCAAATAAAACTCTAGAAGAGGAAAGAATTCATCCATCATTTCTAGAGAAGATGTGATAATTACAGGTGTCTGGGAAGAAAGAGTCGGGGCTGAGCTGTTCACAGTCCATGTGTTGAGTCCAGCTGACTGCTGAGTCCTACTGGAGCCTGCAGACCCTTCTCTCCATAGAATGAAACACCTTTAGAAAGGCCACCTGCACAGCTCTGGCTCTTGAAGACTTTGTTATTTTAGACTTAAAAACAGTGAGGATTAACTGTTAAACTTAGTTATTTTAGACTTTGCTCTTGAGTCAAAGCCTGGCTCTGTGGACTTTGTTATTTTAGTATTCCCCCC